TCGTGATTTATATGTTACTGAAATAAATAATTATGCTAAACGATATTTTGCTGATCGAAAAACATTTAAAGAAAATTTTACAAAACAAATGGTTGCAAATGCAAATAATTGTGAATCAATACCAAATTTTGTACTTATTGTACGAAAAAAATATGATCGTGATGATCTTGATGATTTATCACGTTCATCACAACAACAACTTGATCGTTATGAAAATATGGGAAAAAAATTTGAACGTACAGCTGAATATTGTTGTGATATTATATTACAAGAAATTGAAATGGATACATTAAAATATGTTAAAATACTTTTTACACGTGATTGGTTTGGTTCAACAGCTAAACAATGTTGTGGTACAATTATTGAAACAACACGTGATTATTGGAGTTCAGAATTAACACATTTAAAAAAACCATTATTAGCATATCTTTTTTATACATGGCATAAACGTATATTAGCTCATTATTTACGAAATTTATTTTCGCGTAATACACCTATTAAATTTTCTGCACCAGCTGAACGACGTGCATGTGCAGACCAATTACGTAGAGAATCATCACAACTTGATAAAGAATTTAAATCATGGGATGGTACATCAGCTGATAATGCAACTGAATATCATTTTAATATATTAAGTAATATAGCTGATGTACTTGAACAAACAGATTTAGATTCTATTGTACTTGAAATAGCAACATTAGCAAAAAAATATCCAAGTTTAAATATGGATCAAGTTACACAAGTTTTATTATTACGTGGAGATTTAACAAAACAAGAAGCAAAAGATAAAGCTGATGCTGCATTATCGAATATGCCACGTGTTAATCAAGGTATTCTATTTGAAATTATGGAAATTGTTAATCAACTAAATTGATATTAGAGATTGAATATTAGAAAAAAAGAAACTTTCTTAATTTCTATTTTATTTATTCATCTTTCTTATTTATGTGTATTTATCTGCTTTTCTTTTTTTTTCTTTTTGTTATCAACAATGTTTATTTCTATTGATTTCTAACAAATAAATAAATAAATACACAAGAATTTTAGAATTAAATCAATGTTACTAAAGTTTTTGTCCTAAAAAGTTATTTAACATTGTATTTATTCTTGAAAACATATTACTACTTTTATTAGGGTGTCCAGAAAGTTGACATGAATAATTCTGAAACACCTTTTTATTTTAAATAATATTATAGTACATTATTCTTTGAAGTTTTGTGCTATATATTTTCAGACAATATAAAAATAGCAATAGTTTTGCTAATAATCAAATTTAAGTTATCTATCGTTATGAAAGGAAAAAATCTAATAGGAATTTGGCATATAAACACTAGATATAGGCTGTATTAGAAATACTTTTACGAAATCAGTGTAGTACTAAATGGATGATAATAATATGAAAGACCTTCAAAAATTACAGAAGAAAAAATTGATGACGTTCTGTCCAACAAGATCAGGTTGAAAGGACATGATAAGCTATAAATAGTACTACGATAAAAAAAAATGAAATATGTCCGCATCGGTTCAATTGAATAGACAGATTTTTTTCGTTAGTGGTAGACATTTATTCAAAGTTTTTTTTTCTCATATGGATAAAGTAAGCAAATATTACTATTAAGTATTTATTAGTGATATCATGAAAGCAATGTCATCTGTTATCAAGTGAGAAAAATACATATGAAGCATTTCATAGATAATACTCATTTGTCATGCGAAAGGATAATAATAAGAAATTAAAATAAACTTTATGAATGATATTATATTGATGCGCATAGAGAAAATTTTCAGGACTAGTTAATTTAAAAGTCAACGAATATTTTGAATTTTCAAATATGAAACATTGGTTTTTGCCAGGAATTTAGTATTTTGATGTTCAAAGTGTTACAATTATGCGTTTTACTTATGTAGCATGAATTTTAGTAAGTCTATGTGTGTAAGATATATATAAAGATTTGATTGAATTCAAAATAAGAATCGATATTGAAAATAAATTAATTCAAAACAAAAAAAACTTTCTGTAGTATTGTTTTTTAAAGATTTCGAAAACGATGATTTTATGTATTTCAATTCACAGTAATCATTTTGAAAGTGTGTTGTAAACCAAATTATATGAAATAAAATTTAAAAGAAGGTACTATTAGATTATTAAAAAAGACAGCTGAAAACGCTGGAATTATATAAGAGATAGTCATGCAAATTTTCTAGACGGACTCTTTGGAAACTTTATATTTATCAATAAATATCTGTACGCATAAAGATATTCATTTTGCAAATTAATTTGGTTATCAACTATACATGAGCAAGTCAATGTCAAATCATTGTGAATACTTTTTATGACCTTGATAAGAATTAAAGTGATTGAAAACTAGAAAAATCATCGCTATTGATAGTTTGCTATTATTTTATTTTTATTTGTATGACTGTTTTCTTAGATGTTTCGAATTCTATCTGCATGAAAGAAAAGCACTTCGATTAATTCTTCAATGCTTTAACAAAGTTTATAGAACAATATTTAAATTTTTTACTTTTCAGTTATTCATTAGTTAAAAAAAAAAAAAAAAAAAGATTTAGTTTGTGTAATTACTTTCGATAGATGAAGATCAAATAACCATTTTAAAAAAAGCATCACTATCTCAGTAGAATGATGTTTTTGAAATCATATAATTCATATTTGGCAATCAGAGAAATCGATCTCTTCTTCGTTATCTGCCCTTTAAAACATTCTCGTCCTTGTTTATCTAAATCATTTTTTATATAATATCTTAGTTGAAAAATGATGATGCTATTTTTATCAAGTATTAAATTGCATTGTACGTCATTCTATCCATTTTACGCACAACTATTGTGATAATCTAGAGAACAATTCAAGACCTTGAATATAAACTTCACAATAAGAAAAACAAAATGAATCAATCTTCTCTATCGATAAAAAAAAATACGCAAGACTATAAAACAAAAACTATATATAAAAAATTTTGATCGTCCTCTTTTGAACAAATGTAATTGAATCACATGAATGAACTTTAAATGTCTCATGTAATACATATATTGTTAATTATCATCATATTTTACCATAATCAATGACCTCATCCTAAAACATTTTCATTCTCTCTTATCAGACAATAATAAAAATGAAACAGAAAAAAAAGAGTTGCAATGCATCACGTATTCACAATAATATAAAATGTTCTTTCAGGAGTTTATTTTTATTCTTTGTCTATTAATTATATTTATTATTCCAATAAAATCAACTGAAAATTGTAATATTGATTATGATCGTTATAAAAGAAGTTATGGTTATTCACAAACTTATCATTGTTCAAATCTTTATTCACTTTCAAATGATCTTTTACAAACGAAAGATATTTCAGAAAAAAAATTACCATTAAAAATTACTAAAAGTCCAAATCTTCATATTCATACAGAAATATGTGGTCAACATCAACAACAATATTTATTAGGTTTATTAATTGAATCATCATATATTCATTCAATAGGTTCACGAGCATTTTCTTGTCGTACATTACGTGTTATTTCAATAAGTCATACACAATTTTCATTAACAATTTTACCTGATGATATATTTCTTAATGCTTATCAATTACAAACTATTCGTCTTGTAAATACTAATATAAAACATTTACCATCATCATTAGAAAATTTATCTAATTTAACTGAATTAATACTTGATGATATGCATTCACTTATTGATTATCCATCAATAGAATATTTAAGTAATTTACGTTATTTACATATATTTACGAGTTTAAATTATTTTCCACTTAATTATGTCGATCATTTAAATCGTTTATCACATATACAAATTATTCATTTTGGTAGTCGAACAATAAATATATTTCCAAAAGAATTATTTCATTTAAATGGTTATCAATTAACTGATGTAAGTCTCTATTCAGAAAATATAACGTGTCGAACATGTAAAAGTGATTGGTTTAAAACAATTGCTAAAACTTTAATGATTTATGGTTGGACTAATCGTACAAAAGACCAATTTCGAAATAAAAATTTTCATTTAATTACAAAAACAACGTAAGTTATGATTTCAATTCAATATATTTTTTTTTTAAATAAGCTAAAATTATTTTAGACAATTTTATAAATTAGATATAATTGCATATTGTGGTGATATGCGATTAGGTGAAGAACCATTAATGGTACATAACGCACCATTATGTTGTAACAAAGGCTATTTTCAATGTGCAACTAAACGTTCTACATGTCAAAGATTAAGTAGTACATTTTCACGTTGTAAATGTTTAAATGGTTATTATGAAGATAGCTATGGTGACTGTATTTCAGTTTAAAAATTAAAAACTTTTTTCTGCACACTACAAAAGAATAAAAAGAATAAATAAAGTTAATGATGATGATTTTAGCCGCTGCGATGATGTTTTTTGCCACCATGTTTCTTATGTTTATGTTTACCATCATGCTTGTGTTTGCCTCCTTTTCCATGTTTATGACCCTTGTGAGATGATCCATCACTACGGTGGCCTGATGAACTACGGCTTCTTGAACTATCACGATGAGGTGATAGTGAAGGATTTCTACCATGGCCACCAGCTGGATGATCAGCTTGACCACCAATGTGAGGACTCATGTCTTTTTTTCCACCACCTTTTTTGTGATGATCACCGTTGACATGCTCTGTATAATAGATACAATAGTAGTGTATAATATTTAAGAAAAAAAAACCTTACGAAAAGCAAATGCAAAGATCAATACCAAGGCAAGTGTATAAAACCAAAGTAATCGCATTGTTTCGTTTGATGCTGTATGAATGTCAGTTAAAACACAATGATGAAACAAAATGATTCGAGTAAGAGATTAAATATCTTCAGTTTATTTAGAAAAGAGTGAGTGAGAGAGAGAGAAAAAAAAAGTAAGGAATAGAAAAGATAAAGACACACATACTACGTACACACAACGGAAAGTTATTTTATCAGTAGTCAATTGGCAAGGTCAAAAACGCTTGACTTTTACGTGACAATGACACTACGATAAATTTTTCGATTATTTTGAATTTTCTCTTCATTTTGCCGTATAGGTGGAAATAGACTTTTTTTAATTGGTTGTTTTGTACGATGTTGTGGTTGAAGATTAATTATAGTTGTTTGTTGAGAAGTTCGTAGTTGTTCTTCACTTCTAATATATTGTTGGGCTTCATATTGAATATTTTTTAATAAACGTCTATTAAAAAAATAGAAATGAATATGTTTGAGCAAACAAAAAAAAGATAAGAACTATAAAATACAATAAATTTAAATGAACTTACGTTAAAATAATATTTTTCTTTTTTAAAAGATTTTCATATGGATCACTTTTTTGTGTTGATGGTAAATTATTCACATTATTTACCTAAAGATAAGAGTATAGAGAAGAAAAAGAAGCGAATTAAAAATATTCTTTTTTTCTTCTATTTTTACTTGTAATCTAGCACCAACTTTAAATTTAAGTTCAATAAGTTCAGTAGAAAATTTCATATAAAGTTTTTCTTGTGAACATATCTTTATAACAATTTCTTTATTTAAATGAAATAATATTGGTTGAAATGGTGGTGCATGTACGTGTGGTTCGAGAGATGTATTCACTTTTGTCCACCAATTCCAACGACGTCGTCGACTGCCATCAACATTTAATTCTACACCTTCAAGTGCTGTCAATTGTAATCTATAAATAAAAACAAAAAAGCATGAACAAATTTTTCATAAATATAATGGGTGATGCAAAAGTTCTGTATTAGGTTTTTTTTTTTGTATGTCTTGACAACAAATCGTGAGGGAGACTTGATTGTTTTATTGTTAAAAAGAGAAAAATCTCAACAGCAAAGGTATGTAAAAATATTTGGCTTAAAATATTTATCAAAGCTTGAAAAGTTTTAAGAACATGTTTGACTGAAAAAGTTCTCTATACATTTTTGAAATTTAAAAGAAAAATTTCATCTACTAAGAAGATTCGATTTATTTTTTGTCTTTTATCGAGTTTTGTAGCGCTAAGATATGGTATTATAAATAGGTAAAAAAAAATGGAATTGTCAAGTTATCAGGTGAGTTCAAAATCAACGTTTTTCTAATGATCTTTGCTGACCTAATAAGTGATTTTGAAAAAAATAAGATTTTTTTGTCCAGCAATCGCAGTTAGTGAAATCCTATCCTTTATGTCTAGTTAGAGTTTAGTGAGCCACTCTTCAAAAGCACATTATATACAACAGAATATTGAACATCAGGAGAAAATATTCGTTGAACGTTGTAGCGAAAAAAGAAAATAAGCGTTCAATAAAACTGTTTCCTATGGAATCTGTTGTTTTGTAACTTGAATATTTTGACACCATTAGAAAGCTTGTGTCGCGTTGGTTACATTCACACATTAGTTATGTCGAGTAGAAGAAAAATTCAATTTTCTTGTTACTAATTTCAATATTTATTAATTTACAAGCAAATTTCATACCTTAAATCTCCATTCATAAAATTACAATAACCATTTCCAAATGGATCAAATTGTGCTAATTGTTTTGCTGAAAGTGTTGGCTCATCAGTAAATGCAGTATATAAAAGCATAGCGCGAGCAACTTCTGAGATACTAATAGCCGTATTACCCGACGGATAACTTAAGAAAAGAAAGAAAAGTTTTTGTAAAAAATAAAAAGTTTCAAATATTATAACTTACTAAACACAGCCTGTTCCATTTGGAAAAAGAATAGCTGCTTTTGATCCGTCTTTATAAAATCTTTGAATTAATGGTCTTTCATATTTCTATTGATAAATTAAAAAAAAAGTATATATTATATCAATAATGAATTTATATTCTATTACTTTAAGTATTGAGGATGAAAGATCTCTTGGTACAATTATATGTTCTTCATCTTCAGAATCCTCATCTGAACTTATTTCAAAATCAGGTGGTCTTTGTAATGTCCAACCTTCTTCAACAAACTTTAAATTTGATAATTGATATGTTAGAGTTCTCATTTTTGCTGCCACTATATTTTGAACAAAAGAGATGTTTTATTTACTATTATATAAAATAATATTATTAGCATTAATTAGAAATATAGAAAGCTACAAATACACACAGAGTATTGATTAGTAAACTAATATTAGTACAACAAATACACTTACTAGCCGAGCCCGGCTCAGCAGTACTCGGTGATGGTGAACTACTAGCCCTTGATGAAACACCACGATATGAAGTTAATTGTTGTGCCCTTCCTGTATGTATATATATATAAAATACAGAATCCTATGTCTTTTTCCGACTATGTTTAATTAAACACATATCTCGGAAAAATGGATTCACTATATGGACAGGGAAAAATCGGGATCAAGCAAAAGCTACACACACATAATAAAAGCTTTAACATAAGTATTATTATTATTATTATTATTATTATTATTATTATTATTATTATACTTTCAGTTGCATCAATCGATGTTCCTCCATCATTCAATCTGTTTGTTGCTGTGATTGTATTATGTTTCCGTGTTGCATTGCTATGTGCTTGACGTCCTGCACAAGTGTATGTATACATCAAATACACACAATAGTGAATGTGTATATAGGAATAAAAGCTACTGTGTAGATAATGTGATAATTATATCATGAAAAAAAAAACATTCAAACAATATTTAGATATATACAATCATCCTGAATCATTTTTGCTGCTGCACGTCTGTCCGTTATTTTATGTGCTGCTTGACTTAAATCAGTACTTCCACCTGATTCTGATAGGATTTAATTGATAAAAAAGACTCAAAAATCAAAAAACAAAATGCAATAATTTACATACGTAGATCACTAGATTTTGATTGTGCAGCATGTGCTAATTTTTGTGCTTGTTCTTCAAGTCGTTTTTGTTCTGCCATATGACGTTCCCAAACTCTGACATATATATAAATTTATAATATGATAATATGAGAATCTTTTATTTTGTTTTGATAAACCTTGTTTTTGCTCGTTCTTCAGCTAATTGTCGAGCTCGTCGGCTACGAACTTTAGCATGTGGTTGTATATCAATTTGTTTTGAATCAATTTTTTGATTCTCTTCTTTTTGCATTTCAAGTACAGCTTCAACAAATTCACGATACTCACTACAACAAAATAACTAAAACAAAAATAAAATAAAAAAATGATAAGATATATTTATTTGATAAATTCATACTTGACTTGGTGCAAATTTTTCTTGTTCAACAATTGTTGGCCATTTAAGTAACTGTTGACCACAAAATTCACATGGAATATGTCCATGAATATGTACACCTAATTCACGTAATTCTGTTTCAATGGCTTGTTCATTTGTTCGAGGTATGTCAAATAATTTTTGTTTGGATTCAGGATTATACTAGAGTAAAGACAATTCATTGTAATCTTTCAAAAAGAACGAAAAAAATATTTAAAAAAAGAAGTCAATTAAACCTGTAAAATAGGTGGTGGTCCAACAGATGTTAAAATTGGCAATTCAGGTAATGAACTAGTAGTCGATTCAGCTTGTTCAGGTGACTTTATAAAAGAAAAAGAAATTTTTTTTTTAAAGTTACTTATTGATTTAAATTACTTCGGAAATTTTTGGAATTGGTACTTCTAGTTCAACAATAACTTCTTGTTCTAATTCTTCACGTTCATCTTCTTCGACAGGTACTGGCTCAGGTTGTTCTTCTCGAACTAATTATTATAGAATATAAACATTTAATTTGTTTTTCTTTTTCTTTTTCATTCATACTAAAACACATACTTCGATATTGTTCAAGCATTTCCATATCTTTCCATGTCCATTCTGTTTGAACACTTATTCTTAAAAATTACATATATTATTATATTTTTATTTCTTTCATTTATTAACATACGTCGTCGATTTTTTAGGTGTCTTTTTCTGACGTGATGGAATAGAACTTTGAGTTTTTCGTCTTTTAGATACTGGTGATTTTTCTGTTGTCGATGTGAGATTAAAAACTTCTTTTTGTTCATCACTTGATACGCCCAATGCTGAACCTTTTATGTAGAACAAAACAAACAATATTCCTTTTATATGTTTTTATTTTTATTTTTATATAGAGCAAACCAGATTGTTGCTGTTGTTTTGATGGAGGTGTGGATGATGTTTCATCATCTGTACCATTCAATGGATCGGCTATATGTAAAGAAAAATAGAATAAGAAGACATATTATTATTTTCTTTTTCTATTTAAAATTCAAATCATTTCCTAAGGGAACAACAGAACAAAAATTGATCTCTCCTCCCTTAAACAATATTTTTAGTCATACTTTTTAAGTCATTGAAAGAGTAAGAGAGAGAGAGAGAGAGAGAAAGATAGAGAAAGAGAAACAGAAAGACGGAATAATGCAAAGTGCATAGAAGCCATCGAGCAAAAATATAGAAAAAAAAAATGACGATCGATAGCTTTCATGTTGCTTCTAAGTCGTTGCAATCGAACAAGTGTGTAAATTGTTGAATTTTGCAAACGGTTGTCGGCACAACAAGAAAGAAAAATATAGACAAAAGAAGAAATACGATAAATGAGACAATGACTATTTATATGGTGAATTATTGAAATAAAAAGAAAAAAGAAACAAAAGGTATTTATACATCAATATTACGAATAAGAATCATTGAAAATGGGACACTCCGGTAAACATATAATCGATTCTGAAACTGGATTATGTAAAATATGTGATAAAGATGCTATTCTTGAAATTCGTGAAGGTCAACAACCAAGAAAACAAGTTTATTATTCAAATCATGATGATGGTTTTACTCGTCGTTCAAATAATGATGAAACTCCTTATATTCAAGTAAATCAATCTATTCCTAATATCTTTTTATCTCTTTCTCTTTCTCTCTAATATTATCATAGGATCGATATGAAGATGAAATAGATGATGAACCAACACCACGTTTTATCCGTAAATCTGTTCATCCTACATCAACAGTTCGACCACGTCGAGTTATTCATGAAGAACCAATTGAAAAGCCAATTGTTATTCGAAGAAGAGTTGTTCGACATAGTCCTGCACAACCAGAAGAAGTTATTATTCGTCGTTCATCACCTCGTCAGAAACCATATTATTATGTTGATGGTGAAGGTCAAATAGTACCTCAAGATTATACTCCACCCGTAGAACCTCCTCGACGTTATGTTGTTCAAACTACGCATCCACCACCACGACGTACAATTCGTGTTGCACGTCGACATGCTCAAACACCACCACCAGCAAGTGAAATAAGACAGTCAGGACCAAGACGTCTAATCAATTCTGATACAGAAATTATTGACCGACGACAGCGAATAAGACATGATGATACGGATTATTCTCAAAGACCACCAAGAAATGCTGAAATGTATCATATTGAAGCACAACGTATTTATAATCATCATTCATCATTAGATTCTCCTATTCCAACGTCACGCAATATGACTACTCCACCTAAAGTGATTTATCAAGATGATGAAAATAGAAGACAACATAAAATTGAACCTAGAGAACGAAAAAATTACATTGAACATGAATCACCTGTTGTAAGAAGAGCTTATAAAAAAATACCACCAGGCAAATCTGTACCACCTGATGATAAATATAATTCAAATGAAAATTTTCCACGATCTATACAAAATAATAAAAATCGTCCTCCACCAAGACAATATGTATCATCACCACAATTAACAAATAGAAATCATAAAATTCCTGAATCAACTAAAAATCCATCTATCTATTATATTCGATCAGTTGATGAACATTGATTGTCATTTTTTGACTTATTCTCTTTTTTTCTCTATTTTGTAATTTTATATGACATTCACAAATTCCAATAAATTTCATATTATTATTATTATTATTATATTTTTTTGGTTCAATGAAAAATTATTTCGTTTTAACAAGGGTTGCTTTTATAAAAGAAAAATAATGTATGCATCATACCCACACAAAGTAAAATGTTTTTCCTTTAATGTATTTCTTCAAATACTCAATTCTTAAGTGATTAAAAAGAAAAGAAAATATCTACTTCTTTCTCCTTTTTGTTTTTATAAGAAGAGTCACAATGATTGAGAATATTCAAAGGTTTCTTCTAATATCGAATGCAATTTTAATATTCCATCATGATCAAAAGTAACTTATTAACAGCAAAAAAAAACATTTTTTTTTGCTACCTTGGTTAAAAAATATTCAATGAGAAAATTTTTATCGATAAAAACTTGAATAAGGTATGCAAGTTTCTTTTCCATCTTTTTTTTTTAATTTGAAATTGAATAGCTTACTAAAAAAATATTTAACACGGGTATCGGATATATTTTCTTTTTGTTCATCAAGAATAAAAAAAAGCACATATCGTCTATCATAGTTACATACGCCCACTTCGGACTACTAATTTCTTTCTAACAAAACTGCAATTGCGTAGTTACATATGAATCTCAAGAAAAAATATATTTCATAGAATCACATGATTCATTCATTTTTAATTGTTAATAGTAAAATATAAATCATATTTTACACTTATTCAAAGGTTAGTTCCATCACAATGCGAGATACAATTTATATGATAAGTAATCGATTAATAACTAACCTTTTTCATAATCTGTTGTTCGTATTTGATTATCATCATTGGAATCGACTGAACCACCAATATTTTGATAGAGATCCTTGTCAATTGCAGTCGCATCGACACCTGACGCAGACTGAGACATCGATCTAAGGATAAAATAAGTTTCTCCAAACAATATCAATTCTTTTGTCGTCAAATAATTGATAGAAAAAAGTTCTTTTTCTTTAAATTTTGTTCGTATTCGAGACTATAATAACAAACGCACGCGTATGTTGATACATTCGTTCAAGAAACCAAACGAGATGATTAAAAACATGAATAAATAACAATATAATAGAAAAAAAAGTGAAGAAAAAAAAAGAAAACTAATAAACTAACAGTGTCGATTTCTCTTCTTTCATTTCTTTTTTTCTGCCTTTTTAAAATCGAGTCCACTCAATCATTCAATCAACGTATGTTGATGTCGGTATAAGTTACCATTTTTGCTTGTCAATCTTTGACAACGAGACCCGCATTCATAGAACGCGAAAGCAACAACAGAGAATTTTTTTGTATGTGTATGTTGATTGATGGCGTAACAATCCGTCAAAATTGTCGCCAGAAGCAAATTTATTCCATAGTTAAAACATTTTTTCTATGACAAACTGTAATATAGTATTGAAACTTGAGCAATAATTCTTGCTAAATGAACCATACTTGTTGTTTATGGTCAACATATTTTTGTTTCTTTAAATCGGGTTTTTTTAATAGTAGAAAAATGATTCTTCAAAGTTACATAGTTGTACATTGATCAATATTGTCATAATGACTATACTTTTTTTTAAATATAAAATTGTAGTAATCAATTAATATCATGATAGTTGATCAAGTTGGGAATATGTTCATGACCTGTTGAAAGCCATACGAAATTGTTTTTTAATAAATATTATCTTTCAGCAATATTAAATAGTTCGTTGTGACATCATTCATTAGTGTTTGTAAAAATAAATTCTAATCGATTTTTGTGTTAATATTTTTTATTCTATCTGTTGTTATAAACAATGAATTGTATGATCATTATAATTATTAAAAGAGTATCTTGATGATAATCGATAATCTTTGATAATATCTAATATTTATTTTTGTTCTAATTTTAACTGACAATGTTTGTGAACAACAAAAACTGATCCCATGATCATAATCATTTTTAAATTTAAATTGTTTCAAGTGGAAAAAAGAAAATCCTGATCACTCTCTTAAACACACACACACACACACACACATTCTTTCGAATAAAAAGAAAAAAAAGAAACAAAAAATAATGAACAAATGACAACCAATTTTTATGTACTAGATTCATACTGTATTACGCTTAAAAAATAAACAAGAATTGTAGGAAGAAAAGAAGCGCGAAGAGAGAAAAACTCGAAACGCCATTATTGCCACCACCATTGGCAACATGGTGACGTGCATACATACACACACACATTCACATAAGTAAAAACTTTTAAAAATTGTTATTTCATTCTCTCTTGTCGTCTTAAAATATTATACACACATTTGTCTTGACGTGTACGTATGTGTGTCTGGTACATTTTTGAATCCTAAAATATTGTCTTACTTATTAGTCATATATTAATATTAATTAATGAATATGGATGAAGTAACAGAACCAGTTGAAGAAGTATCACAAATAGATTTACAAGAACAATTGAATACAGCTAAAGAAGAAATTCAAAGTTTAACTCAACAACTTAACTGTCTTCTTCTAATAGCAAAAAAGTAGAAAATTATCATTATTTATCATAAACATCTTAGTATGATTTTTGTTTTCTAGTGCCTGGCATGGTGATGAAACAGCTACTGCACATTTAGCTCGAGTCATTGGTTAGTTTATGTTATTAGATTTCATATTTAATACATATGTTTGATCATTTCAAGGTCTTGACCCTGAAATTGAACGACATCCTTTTTTTGAAAAGAAAACAACAACACGTTCTTCGGCAAAAAAAACAGTAAAAATTGCCGATGATGATGAAATTGTATCAAAAGTAAATAAATTCTTTAAAACAATCTTAAATTTAAAATATATTTCTTTTTCTAGCAAACATTAAGTCTTGCAAGTTCAACAACAAGTCAAGAAAATCTACAAGAACAACCAGTACATGTTCAAGCGGCTGTTCGGTATGAAATAAAATTCTTGATTTAATAAAAGAAAAAAAATATATATTATTTGTTTTAGAAATACATATCTTCAACCGTTTCTTAAACAAAGTCATATTGATCCAATACGAGGACAAAATTCTAGACGAATTTTTAATAATATGGTTCGACATCATCAAGTAATAACATTTATTTTTATTTCGAAAGTAAAGTTTTTTTTTTTCTATTTGGTATTTTCTAGAATGAAATGCGTAAACCACCAATTATTGCAAATCGAAATTCATCAGCAAGTGTTCGACCTCGTGCAACAAAACATCTTTATCGACCAGCTTCTGCTGAACATGTTGTACGTCATCTTGGTAGTCCATTGAGTCGTGCAAAACCTTATTTTGTTTTTGCTGGAAAAGAATTTTTTCAACGAACAACTAATTATTCACCGTTATATCAACGAGCACTTGTTACTTCGGTAAGTTTTATCAAATAAACTAAATAAATAATAAAATAAATATTTGATTTTTTTTTTCTTTTGTTTTAATTAGAATGGGTCACGTCAATCAGAACATTCTGATCTTTCTGATGAATCAGAGGTTATACCATCACCAACAACTGAACCAAGTTTATTTCTTTTGTATTCATGTGTTCTTTTTAAACAAACAATTTTATATTATTTCTAGTCATTGCACGTCCACAAACAGCTAAATCTACGCAACAATCATCAGCACTGCGTTTTGCTACACATTCGACGACTACCTTGAATCGTACAAGAGCATCATCTACTCTTAGTAATTCATCAACTACGAAAGTGAAACAAATAAGTGAACGTGAACGACGTGATGCAATGCGACTTCAACGACAACTTAACTTACCTCGACATGGTTGGCTTAATCAACATTCTTGATATAATTAGAGGATAGTGCATGTGTGTGCGGTGAAAAACAAAAGAATATATTGTTTTGCTTTGTTTTTATATTGATAAAAATCATCAGAAAAGATAGAAAACAAATTCTGCTGAGCAGATAGAAATTTGATTTTTGGTCATTACATATCTATCAATTTTTTCATTCGATTATATTCCGATACGAACTATGACAAAGATATTTATTTAGATGTTAGGATTAAAAGAAAATATTATTTTTACGAAATAGCTTAATTCTTTTGGAATCGCTTATTGACATGAATAGTTTGACTGTAAGCTGATGGCTTATATAGTTATAATATAACCATGTTTGCAAAGACTTCCATACTTTTCAAAAAGGTTTGATGCAAATATGACGCTATTACAAGCCAAAGAACAACAAACTATTATTTTTATCATAACTCTATTAAAGTAATTCTCTCGTTTTTCTTTCCTCTTTTCTATTGACAGAAAAAAAACAGAATCATTTCGTCTTGACAACAATCAACATACAGTTGTAATTTTCTACGTTCTTATTATTTTTATACTACTCTACCTCGACAATGGCTAACAATTCAGAAGTATGGCCTCCGAAACTCGATGAAAATCAAATCAAAGATCATTCTGATATACCTGTTCATCATAAAACAGTTGAAGAAGTTAATAAAGAAGTATATACGGCTCCAGGTGATATCTCAAATATAGCTGCTCAAAAAATATCTGCTGAAAAAAATTCGTCGAATGATGCTGCTAATTCTCATGCTACTCAACCACAGCTATTAACAAACGAAAGTGCCGTCAGTAAGGAAAGTGCTAATCGACCAAAATAAATTTTTTCTATATATCATTGTATTGTTTTATTCTTGCAAAAAGATATAAAAAGTATATTAAAACAACGTTTTAATAACAATCATATAGTTCATCGTTGTTTAAGTATTGTATGAATAAGTATAGTTACATGATTGTCCATACTAATTATAACGATTTTGATAATAATAAGAAGACGACATGCATATACTTTAATCCTAATCATTATGATTTTCATATTCTTATTTGCATAAATCGTATCATTGTATCACTTACAACTTAGTTCGATCGTTAAAATTAGGTTGTCTGAGCTGATAAGATTCACATTGATGTAAATCAGAAGTAAAAGTTAGATTAAAACAAAATCAATAACGATAACTCTTTGTTGCTGTCACGATAAAAACGAGAGTACAAAAAATTTTTAAATAATTTTATATATATTGCTTTATTGATAAAGAAAAGTACAAATAAGTTCAATGATATGAACTACACTGTCTAGACGTACATCAGTATCGATGAAATTTGCAGTGTGATAATAAATCATTATTTCATATCTTTGAGAGAATAATCAAGACTTCTACAAAGATAAAGTTAAGCTTACGAACGTTTAAAAAAAAACAAAGAAGAAGTCATTGCATTAAGTATTATAAAAGTAATTAATTTTCATGAATCATGCATATGTAATCTTACAAATTGAGTACGGAAGAATTTCTATGACATTTTCATAAGATTATTGTATGATCGTCATCTATACTTTACATTCATCTTATACAATATCAATAAAATCAATCGAATTGTTTAGTTCACACAATCGCGTAAGACATCATTTTGTCAAATAAACTCTTTTCCTTTTTAAATTAATTCAACTTGACAAAAGAAATTTGAATAGATGAAGTATGTGTTGTGTATATATAAATAAAATATGTAGATTTTTTTTTTTAAATATTCATGATGACAACTCTTGTCCAACATTATTATTGTTCAATGAATAAGGAAAGCAAAAAAGAAGTTAAAATTTACACATATGCATATATACAAAAGTATAGTTCTCAAGTTGCCGTTCGCCTTTATTTGGTCCATTTCTCGATGTCACACATTAAGCTATTCATTTTTCTTCTTGTATATATATTATTACATCATCCATCAAGAGAAAAAACTTTAATATCACGGTCAATTACTAGTTCAGTAAGCAGTAACGACAGAGAGAAAAGTATTACATCTTGCCTTCCCTTGTTTTATTCAATTTTAATAGTTATGTATATTTTATCAGGTGAACAACATAGACACATATACCTATACAAATCTAGCACCGTATTGCATAGAAAGAGAGCGAAAGAAAACATATTATCATAAAAAAAAAAGAAAGAGAATAAGAGTAAAGTAGGTTCATGACCTTCAGGAATATATATGTACTCTTATGTATGCTTGTATGTATACCATCATTTAAAGTAAAGAACATCCCGACGCATATGAAATATGATAATAATACTTGTTAATAATGGCACTAGTAGAAAAACTGATGAAATAATACCAATACGTTGTTTATTTGCATGCATAATATCGTCTAATGTTGAAACACAATTATTGATAGTACAATTATATGTTGAACGAATTGATGTCCAAATAAGATTTGTTGAATAATTTGAAGCATCATTTTGAAGATTTTGTTTAAGTTGATCATAATAAGCAAAACCTGATGCAACAGCACCTGATAAACATGCCATATAAAGTGATAGTAAAGCAAGACAAATCATTAAATAAAGCCAACGACGTCGTAATATACCAACTATACCTAAAATAATCGGTATAGCTACTAAACCACTACCGATTATCAAAAGTATATGAGCTAAAAAAAGAAAAATTTATCTTAGTAATGAATTGTTTAATTTCAAATTGATCTATATATACTAACGTGCATAAATCGAAAAATATGTTTGTTTATCAAAAGCAGAATTAAGATCAACAATAGTATTATACAATGGTGGCTGAAGAAGGAATCCAATGCCAAGACCAATACCTAATAGACATTGTAAAGTAAGAAGTGCGAATAAAATAAGCGCAATTAATTGGATCGTATCTAACGGTCCACATGGAAAATTCATGGCCGTACGTGTAGACCACTATGTATCAATATATTACACCATGATTAATCTGAAAATAAATCTAACTAATTCAAAAATATTCAATATATTTATATGACACAACTGCATCGTTATTATATATATATATATATCTATTTATTTATTTTTTCCTTTTCTACTTCATTCAATCAATTGTTTAACTAAAATAAAACTTATGACTAGATATATTCATTGTGGTTTTTTTTGTTCCATGTCAAAAAAGACAATGAATAGAATAGAGAAATAAATTCTTTCCTGTATGTACATACCAAAGTTTCTTGTCATGCAATCTGTTTTTATTTGTAAGTATGAATAAAAGTAAGGAAAACAAAACTAATTCGATAATTAATCCTATTGACGATTTCCGATCGATTTAAAAATTTTTTATCCTTTTTTAGTCTCATATGTATGTCTATTCTTTCGTTCTCTTACTCCTCGTAGTTGAATCATACAAATGTTATAGATGCCAGGGGTACCAATGGAAATGAATAAATGACGGGTTAAAAAGAGGCGAGTAGTGCAAAGAAAAAAAAGAAAAAAGAAACTATGATGATGTAGTGATTGTGATTTATACGTATATATGTTGCAGAGTTGAGAAGACAACGAAGAAGAAGAAGAAGAAAGGACAGAGAACGAAAAAAGAAAAATCTAATTGCATATACTACTGATGTTGCCCTTCTTTTTTTATGCCCACATCTCATTTTTCGCATCTTTATATATATATATGTGAACAAAGTTTCAAGACCAATGCAATATTGGTTAATAGTAATGATATTGGTAAATGAACAATATATGGTTATGCAAACGAATAAAGTTCACTTGTGAACATCGAACAAAAGATGATATCATGAAAACGAACAATAATTATAAATGTCCTTATATTCCTATGTAAGAATATATTTACTCATTTATTTGTATACAATGACATTTGATAATGATTATCACCAGGAGGTATTAGAGAATGACAAAGACAAGTATATGATTTAACAACGTTTAAATTACGTTGAAGGTTATTTCTTTTTTTTTCATGCAATTGAATTATTAAAAGTAAAATCCTTCGTTTGTAGGCTATTGTTACGATAAATGTCATTGAAATTTGAAGTGAACAAATTTTAATGTAAAATCGATTGATCGATATATGTAGAGTAAGATGAGCAAATAAGATTAAATTGATTCTTCGTTTTTTTTTTGCACTTGAATAATAAATATATTTCATTCTCATGTAATTGTAGAGTTTAAAAAAAAAAGAATAATTTAACGTGATATAAAAAGAAAAGACACATGTGAAAATATGTGTTATATGAAGAATGAGTTGAACATGTTTAATTTTTAGTGCTTCTATTTTCTTTGATTATGTCAAACTTATCGATGAAACAAATCATTTGTGTATTTTATCATAATATTTTCATATATGTGCAGTTTTATTTGCACATTGATGATCCAAACAATCGTTTCTTTTCAAGGCTTCATTGACAATTATATATCGAAATCCTATAATACTACTGTACTCATTAAAATACATCGATTAATGTTAAGCAATACTTTGATAAGTGTAATATCAACTTAGTTTGATTTATTCAACGGAAGAAATATACATATATTTCATATATATTTTTATATATCAGGTATACATATGAATGGTACAAAAATCATCTTATATATTACATTGATATACGCCTATTCTTGAAATTCACGTCTTTTTTTTTCCTCTTTGAAAATAAAAAGTAATTTTTCTTAGTTGCAAGATGTTGAAATATGATATGAAGAAGTAATATGATACAATTAAAGAAAGAAACAATTGTTTTGTTTATCTATTCGAACAAATACGAATAGCTTTAGAAGTATCTCAGTTGATAAAGTTTATTAACATGTGATAACATCAAGCATGATGAGAAATACTTGATTCTATATATTTATGTATTGGCAATTCCTTTTGTATTTCAATAAAAAACTTGACGAATCAATAAATAGTAATATCTTTAGACATCTTACAATAAAAGCAAACATTACTTGAAAATGTGTTTTATAGTTGTATCAGTTATATGGGTTGCTCTATATTATATTTTATTGTTGGATACACTTTAAGAGCGTACATCATTCCACAAGTCCGATAAATATAAATCCTGTTCTCTAAATTTTGTTCCACACATCCATTCTTATCTCAATGTATAGAGCCGCTTATATTGTTTTGTTTATTGATGATTCATAGGTTTTGTCTAATATTGTAAATATTCAAGCGAAGAAATAATACATGATTCTAACTTTCTTGTTAAATTGCAAAATTCAATTCTCTACAAATTTCTTATTATCTTTAATTTAAATCGATGAAATAAAATAAACTCTATAAACAGCATTAATTGTTTTCATGTTTTCAAGGTTTTTTAAGTTCTAAGTAGATACTTCAGAGGCTTGATACTTATAATTGCACTCTACATAAAATACGTTTCAAGAATTACCTATTAGTATTTCACTACAATCAATATTTACTTAACAGAAATTGGTTATGTGAGCGGTTACAAGAAAAAGAGGTGTTTATAAAGTATTCGAATCTTTTCCAGCTCACTGGCATTATAAACCATTAATTCAACTTCGTACGAGAAGAAAAACAAATTCTCTAAAAATTCTACAAGAATGAATTTGTTCTGTTCATGGGTATCATATGTAATACATTTGTTTTGGAGTGTGCTTGTTAGCGCAGGAAACAGCCATAGCCAAATCCACATTTCCTTGTGACGCTCGGTCCACGCCATGAAAAGTTCGATCGCCAATTAAACAACCTATTTCTTTCCATAAATTAACTATAAAAATATGTAGCTTCTTTTATTCCGTTTTATCTCAATAGATAGTAAATTATGCTAGTCTATGCATGAAGAAATTAAATCTTAAAATATGTTATAATTTTCTTATTAAAATACTAAAACAATCCAAGAAATGACGATTGATTAAACTTGTAAAGAAACTATTAGATTTGAAATTAACAAATTATAATGTTCACATAAAACTACATATCTATTGATCAAACATTTTTAGCATTTATGTGCTTCGATGCTAAACATTAGATAATAGAAGTTAGATAGATTGTTATATAAAACTTATATTTATAATAATTTTCTTACTATAAAAATAAAGTCTTTAGTAAAAATGATTGTATTCACTTCTCTTACAAATCACGACAGATATAACATTTAAAGTCAAGTCTACTATATATTTTTACAAATTATTAAACAGAAAAACTATCACCTTATACAGATAAATAAAAAAGCCATATTGTTAAACACATTCCTCTATTAATAAACTAGGTATAATACTTATCGGTTTTTTTTTTCTCAAGTTTTCAATTTTCTATTAGAAACAATATTCTTAATAAGCTACTCTTTTCTTACAGAATATTTTTATCAGTTGAATATGACTATGGTGTGGCTATAATTGGAAATTATGCTATATGAGCAGACAGTTATTTTGTGGAACAATTATACGAGATTTTCAAGTACCAGTTGTATGCCAATTCGTTTTTTGTTTTTACTATTTTCTGATCATTAAAATACAATTTATTTAAAAAAAACATAAAATTTGCAATATGTTACATTTTTGTTCGTTATTTATGAAATGTATTTATTCGTTTCCATTTATAATATATTTATTTAAGAGGTAATCATTACAATGCTATATCATTTCTTATGCAATATTGACTTAGCAAATTATTTCAGTTCTGCGTGAAATGATTGGCATCATAGATATCTGATATTAATTATCGAATACTTTCTGATGTATTTTGGATGGTAGGCCATACAAAACAATAAGAAGACAAGTTTTTCACTGAGTCTTATTTGCGTAGTTTTGTAGCTCTTAATGGTTGCTATTGATACTAAAAAAATGATTTTAGTTCGAAGCCAAATAGTGGAGAACAAAGATTCACAAGAGTCATCATAAGGTATCTTTGCACATATTTGGAATAGTATGTGATGGATAATGGCAACAGAGCAAGTTTTTTGCAGGCTCTTATCTTTGCAATTTTGTAGCTCTTGATCGTTGCTATTGATACTAGAAAAATGGCTTTGATTCCGAATCAAATAGTGAAGAGTGAAGGTACACAAGATTCACCATAAGGTACTTTTGTCTATATTCTGGATTGTATATGATAGATAACGGTGAATGTTACAGATATCATCTTTCACATTTTTCTTTTCTCTCGTTCTTTCTCTTTTCTCTTCTTTCTTTCTTTCCTTGAATATGATATAGTGTTGAATTGATACGGCAGAACGGGCTAATATTATAGATTTAGCGGTTTCACAATATGAGCTTTCTTTTGACATTGAAATCGAAAACCTACAATTTATTACAGATGACATTCGCTGTGATATGGTAGACCCTCTCTTAAAATATCGATTTTTATTCCATTAACTGACTATCTTGAAACCTTTTCAATAAGCTTCGCGCAATGAGTTATCTCGGTTGAGTCTTAGTCAAAATACTGGAAAAAATTACATATCAAAAAGTTGGATTTTTGTTATGCAAATTTTTTGGCAATCCGGAAAAGGCTACAAAAAGAAATCTTCTAAGCAGTTTTGTAGAGAATTCTTTTCTCTATTTTTTGAGACTAGGCGTACTTCAAACCATCGAAGCATTGCCGAGTATTTCATCAGTGTTGGGGCCATAATTCTCTATAAAAACAATTAAAAGATCTAATATTTTTACCGTAAACTTTTCAGACTAAGGTCTATCGAATGGCAAAGTAAAGTCGAAGTTTAAAATTTTGCAGAATTTGAGTGTCCTTTTTTAAGGTGTTGGGCTTGTAGAACTTCTCTCAAGAGGTCAGATTCAAAACTTTTGTGTGTATATTAGAGATGATTAAGTTGACGTTCCTGGGTGAATTTTGGTTCTAGACTTCCAGGTTTAGATAGAGGCAAGAAAAGGTCGATGATAGAGCAACCGATCGGTTTTCATGTGATACAGGTTTGACATCGATTCTTGTTTTTATTATC